CTCTCTCTCTCTCTCTCTCTCTATTCATCCTCAATAAATTAAAACGGCCTCACAGGTAGGGCCAGCGCCGCCGCCTGAGGCAACTCTTCCAAATTCATTGTCTTCTTCACAAGCACCACATCCACACCGTAAGCCTCAGCACCTACAGTCATTCCCACTCCCTCTTCTTTCTCTCCCAATTTCTGTTGTTTTTCCTGTTCTTGCTGTGCACCTACCACACATCGAATGGCCTCTGCGGTGGCGTAAAGTGGAAGTGTGAGCCAGCCGGTGTTGCGGAATATACACTGTGCCCCCTCCACCCGCTGCTCTCCACTCACCACCCACTGCTGCGCATGTTCACAGCGTTCAATCACAGCACCCCAACGAGTTGTTGGCACTGTGTGATCCACCTTCGGTCCATACACCACAAAGGATGGCTGCTCAGCACTGCTGTGGTGTCCAGCAAGGAAGGTGTTGGCATACATGCAGGCCGCCGCGAAGGAGAACTCATCCGGGCAGAAGAGACGTCGCATAACACGAAAGGGTGATTGTGCGAGTTTGTGCTCTACGGCAAGAAATACAACAGCGGCAGCACCAAGCAGAGAGGCATCAGACATATTGCTTTTCTGAGTCATATTACCGTTTTCAGGTGCAAGTACATATAAAGTTCGATTATTCCACGCAGTTCGGGTACGAATACCATCAACAAGTTGTTGTCTATACCCTCGTAGAACTTCACCTTCAAATGTGATGGCATTACTCTGTTGATCTACTTCAGGAGAAGCAGGCGATTGTGATACTCTCTGACCCTTCTCACCTGATTGCGCCTGTGCAGTGCTAATAAGGAACATATTCACAGCAGCGTCATTATCTGGAACAACAGGATCTTGCCAATGCCACACCATGGGTTGTGTAGGACTAACACTCAACGATGCAACTGTAGCAGACGGTGATGCCTCACGCTGGGACTCATTACCAGTCGTTGTAGTTGTTGTTGCTCCTCCTGCTCCTGTTGCGGAGGCTGATGATCTAGAGCGTGGCAACAAAGTTGACAAACCGCCAGGGGACAATGAATCAGGTGTGCAGAAGATAAAGGTGCGTTTCTTTGCACATGGCCAACAGTCAGATCGTACGGTATCTTTCCCCTTGAGATGATCACCAGACAAGTCCTTCCGCTTACCACAGACAGTACAGATCCACACTGGTTTCCCGCTACCCACTACTGATGGATCAGTATATATTGAGGGTATTACTGCATTTGTTGAGGCTGTAAAAGTGAAGGGCGGTGTTTGATGTGTCTTGTTGTTAGGACCTGTAAAAGATTGCATAATAATGGGTGAAGTATTTCCAGATGAGGACAATGTGGAACTACGTGGAACCGCATTCGCTGTCCCTTGACCAGCTGTTGTTGTTGTTGTTGTTGTTGTTGCTGCGGCTGTGGATAATTGACTACTACTTTCAGTCGTGTTCTTTTGCGTATTCACAATGCCGGCAAAAGGAGTCTTTGCAAAGGCAGCCGCCGCAAAAGCGAACGGGTTCATTCCAGTAGTATTAGCAGCAGGTGCTGCTGTCGTTGTTGTTGTTGTTTTCTCAGGAGATGTCTTTGTTGCGGGATTAAACAGGAACGGTGCAGTCACCACTTGTGCCGCACTGCCGCCTGTTTTAGAAGTTCCTCGCACAAATGTACTCTTCTTTGCACACGGCCAACAGTCAGATCGTACGGTATCTTTTCCCTTGAGATGATCACCAGACAAGTCCTTCCGCTTACCACAGACCGTACATGTCCATACGTCCATTACTGGCACTTCTTAAGAAACACTTTCCCTTTGGCCACTTAGGTATACAATTAATATTATATGGTCTCCCTTTAAGCCTTGCTCTTTTTTTTTTTTTTT